AGGTGAGCTTAGTCAGAGAAGAAAGCCTGATTAATCTTTTTGTACTGGGATCTCAGTTTTGTAGTCAGAGTTCATATTTCATATAAAATGGTTAAAACATAGAAAGACTGAATATTTATGATAAACTCCTTAAGCAGCTGAACGCCTGCATTCCAGTTTCCATTGAATTTTCTTGGGGTTAATGGGTTTTAAGTACTAATTGAAAACAAGAAGTGCTCTGATTGTTCAGGTACTGGTTAAAAATATTGAACTTTTGAGGAGGAAACATAAGTATTTGTTCCTGAGTTTCTGTTAAAACTGATGACTAACAGAGAAGTTGGTCAGTTTGGAATCTATAAGTTCTGTCTCAATACCAAGTACATACAAAAAAAGCTTTAAAAAGAGGAGAAATCAAACCATTTTTACATTCTGTATGCTTTCAGGAATGATAAGCTAAATGTATCTTTCTTAAAATGAAACCAAAGGAAATGATGGTGTGATTAGTTATGTTGTGCAGTAAAATATCTTACTTGTGACAGCTGTCAGTTGCTCTACACTGATTCTCACATTTTCAAACACAGTGAAGAGAGTGAATGTGTATCTGGTTCCAGCAGTGAGAGATGAGACTGTGTAGTTCACTGGTCCATCTCCATCTGGTGCAGTGATGTTTATCTCTGTGCCGTTAAACTGCAGAATAAAGCTGCTGCTGCTGTTGTTGTTGATCTTGTTCCACTGCAGAGTGATGCTGCTCTCATCTTGTGTCGATACTCTGAAGGGTTGAGGTTCTAACACACACAGACACAATATATATTACAATATAAAGCCTTAGTTTTACCAAACATAAAACATGTTTCACATTGGCTTTGGTTAAAAAAATAACTACAATTTATAAAAATTAGTGAATTGCAGTTTGTGTTTGTAAATACATATTGAAATTATCTGGTTGTAAAAGGAAAAGGGATAATTCTTCATTTTTAGTAAATTATTACATTACCTGTACAATATGCCAGCCAACATGTAGACGGTTGTTGAAGTTTGTAGATGTAGTATCCATAACAACGTTTGATCTGGATGGTGTGTGTGGGAAAATGGCAGCAGGAACCATACAAGGCGTTACACACAGTGCGAGTTACGGTTTCATTAAGCTGGACTGGATGAGGCTCAGTTATCCACAAAGGAGCATGAGTTCCACATCTTCTTTCTGCTACACATTTCTCTGGAATCTGAGCGCTGGTCTGACCCAAGTAAAAGCGATACCAACCACTCCAGTAAATGTCCCGGTCACAGTGCCATGAATAGTCTGTGTTCTCTGTTGAACGCCAGGCATCGTTCAGTACATTGTAATTCACACAGGCGTCAATGCATTCAGCAACTCCATTGGTGGTGATGCACACTGTGCCATCAGGACAACACCGACAGCCGGTACACGGACCTTCACATAAAAGACATGGGATAAAACAGAGGATAAAACATTATAAGTCTAAAGACACAAAATACTTTTGCTTTTATTTCAACTTATTGTCATATTTTGAGTTAATGAGGGTGAAGAGGTTTTCCTGCTCCTTTAGTGAGAATATCATGCCTACAGTCAGAGAAAATCATAAAAAACCAATCACACCTCACTATGAGTTAAATAAACCTCAGCTTAAATTCCTGGTTTTAGCAGATTCTTAATAGACATTAAATCCTTTTCATCAGTCAGTCTACCTGCAACAGCCTGACAGCTGCATGTCGCTTTCCAACTACAGTTTGTCTCTACATGGACTAAACAGATTCAGCTCTGGACAAAGAACAGAAAAATCTCGCAGTCTGTTTCTGTTTGAAAATGTTGATTCTGTTAATGATCACTAAACATGTTTCTGACTTTACTGTCCTTCAAATGAGACTTTAAGTTGTATCTCATTTTTGAGTCATTTCTTAAGGCTTTAACAGTCTTCAAACAGAAAACTGGGTTATGAGAGGAGGAGGACATGTAGCAATGGTCAAAACACCAGGACTCAATTTGTGACAGTCGTGTTGAAGACTGAGACCGTATACGAGTCCTGTACTTTACCTACTGAGTCTTTTACAATTTTATATAGCAGATGATCTTGTTCAATGACCAACCAACAGACTGAAATAATTTTTTGTTTTATTGCCTCTAGTGGCCTTTATTTGACAGGAAAGTGGATAATGAGAAAAGGTGGAAGACATGAAGCAAAAGTCGCCAGGCCAGGAATCGAACCTGTGACAGCCACATCGAGGACTAAGGTCTCCATATGTGGGACATCTTTAACCCAATGCCACCACAGCAAACCCCACTAACAACATTTTGTTGTTAAAAAGGTCTCTCTTTCATAATGAAATGTAAAGTCTTACCAGTAGCTGCAATAATGTCGATGCCACTGCTCCTGATGTTGTCAAGAACAGAGAAGAGAGTGAATGTGTAGTTTGTTGCAGGAGTGAGAGATGAGACTGTGTAGTTTACTTGTCCATCTGCAACTGGGGCACTGATGAAAGTCTCCACACCATTAAACAGGAGAACAAAGCTGGTGCTGTTGTTGATCTTGTTCCACTGCAGAGTGATGCTGATGTCAGTTTGTCCTGACTTCATAAATCCTTCTGCATTCAGAGGAGCTGATGTTTTAAAAAAGGAGATGTTTAGTTCAGATTGTTGCAGTTGGGTTTTCATGTCTATGAGAAGCCAGGATCTTAATTGTAGCTTACAAAAAGAAAACATGTCCAGGTCAATTAAACAAGAAAGGAGCAATGGGAATATATGATAGATCATCTGTGTCAAAATTGATCTTTCCATTGCATCCTATCACTTTACAAAACTGCATCATGTTATTTTTTTTCCAAACATCTATATAATCTGTCCAGATATCAACATCATTCAGGTCAACTAAACAAAGTGACACAGGAGACAAACTAATCAGAATCTGAACCCATAAGCTGACTGCTTTTGGTGCAGAGAAGCTCTGGCTCTCCTGTCTCTGAAGGTGAGCTTAGTCAGAGAAGATAACCTGATTAATCTGTTTATACTGGGGTCTCAGTTTTGTAGTCAGAGTTCATATTTCATATAAAATGGTTAAAACATAGAAAGACTGAATATTTATGATAAACTAATTAATCAGCTGAAAGCCTGTGTTCTGTTTCTCATTGTATTTGCCAGGGGTGAAGGTTAAGAGGTTTTAGGTACTAATTGAAAACAAGAAGTGCTCTGATTGTTCAGGTACTGGTGAAAAAAATGTGATCTTTTCATGAGGAAACATAAGCATTTGTTCCTGAGTTTCTGTCAGAACTGATGACTAACAGAGAAGTTGGTCAGTTTGGAGTCTATAAGTGTTGTCTCAGTACCAAGTACATGCATAAAAAGCATTAAAAAGAGGAGAAATCAAACCATTTTTAAAGTCTGTAGGCTTTCAGAGATGATAAGCTAAATGTATTTTTCTCAAAATAAAACCAAAGGAAATGATGGTGTGATAAGTTACGTTGTGCAGTTAAATATCTTACCAGTTAGAGCTCCCAGTTGCTCTCCACTGTTTCTCACATTTTCAAACACAGTGAAGAGAGTGAATATATATCTGGTTCCAGCAGTGAGAGATGAGACTGTGTAGTTCACTGGTCCATCTCCATCTGGTGCAGTGATGTTTATCTCTGTGCCGTTAAACTGCAGAATAAAGCTGCTGCTGCTGCTGTTGTTGATCTTGTTCCACTGCAGAGTGATGCTGCTCTCATCTTGTGTCGATACTCTGAAGGGTTGAGCTCTGAAGGGTTGAGGTTCTAACACACACAGACACAATATATATTACAATATAAAGCCTTAGTTTTAAAAAAAACATAAGACGTGTGTTTGACATTGGGCTTTGGTTAAGGAAATAACTACAATTTATAGAAATGAGTGAATTGCGTGTTGTGTGTGTAAATACATATTAAAATTACCTAGTTGTAAAAGGAAAACAGAGAGTTCTGAATACTTTGTATACTATTACAATATTACCTGTACAATATGCCATATTGCATGAAATCGGCAGTTGAAGTTTGTAGATGTAGTATCCATAGCAACGTTTGATCTGGATGGTGTGTGTGCGATAATAGCAGCAGGAACCCCCCCAGGAGTCACACACAGCGCGAGTTACGGTTTCATTAAGCTGGAGTGGATGAGTCCCATTTATCCACAAAGTAGCATAGGTCCCACATCTTTGTGGTCCTACACATTTCTCTGGAATCTGAGCGTTGGTCTGACCCAAGTAAAAGCGATACCATCCACTCCAGTAAATGTACCGGTCACAGTGCCACGTATTCTCTGTGTTCTCTGTTGAACGCCAGGCATCGTTCAGTACATTGTAATTCACACAGGCGTCAAGGCATTCAGCAACTCCATTGGTGGTGATGCACACTGTGCCATCAGGACAACACCGACAGCCGGTACACGGACCTTCAAATAGAAGACATGGGACAAAACTTTTATTTCGACTTATTGTCATATTTTGAGTTAATGAGGGTGAAGAGGTTTTCCTGCTCCTTTAGTGAGAATATCAAGCCTACAGTCATTGAAAATAATAAAAAAAGCAATCACACCTCACTATGAGTTAAATAAACCTCAGCTTAAATTCCTGGTTTTAGCAGATTCTTAAAAGACATAAAATCCTTTTCATCAGTCAGACAGCCTGACAGCTGCATGTCGCTTTCCAACTACAGTTTGTCTCTACATGGATAAAACAGATTCAATTCTGGACAAAGAACAGAAAAATCTCAGTTTGTTTCTGATTGAAAATGTTGATTCTGTTAATGATCACTAAACATGTTTCTGACTTTACTGTCCTTCAAATGAGACTTTAAGTTGTATCTCATTTTTGAGTCATTTCTTAAGGCTTTAACAGTCTTCAAACAGAAAACTGGGTTATGAGAGGAGGAGGACATGTAGCAATGGTCTAAAAACCAGGATTTAATTTGTGGCAGTTGTGTTGAAGACTGAGACCGTATACGAGTCCTGTGCTTTACCTACTGAGTCTTTAACAGTTTTATATAGCAGATGGTCTTGTTCAATGACCAACCAACAGACTAAAATAATTTTTTTTGTTTTAATGCCTCTAGTGGCCTTTATTTGGCAGGAAAGTGGATAATGAGAAAAGGTGGAAGACATGAATCAAAGGTCACCAGGCCAGGAATCGAACCTGTGACAGCCATGTCGAGGACTAAGGTCTCCATATGTGGGTCGTCTTTAACCCAATGCCACCACAGCAAACCCCACTAACATCATTTTGNAAAACAGATAATTTTGAATTGTTTGTAAATTATTACAATATTACCTGTACAATATGCCGTCCAACATACAGACGGCTGTTGAAGTTTGTAGACATAGTATCCATAACAACGTTTGATCTGGATGGTGTGTGTGGGAAAAAGGCAGCAGGAATCCACCCAGGCGTTACACACAGTCCGAGTTACGATTTCATTAAGTTGGACTGGATGAGGCTCAGTTATCCACAAAGGAGCAACGGTTCCACATCTTCTTTCTGCTATGCATTTCTCTGGAATCTGAGCGCTGGTCTGACCCAAATAAAAGCGATACCAACCACTCCAGGCAATGTACTGGTCACAGTGCAAAGCTGAAAAGTCTGTATTCTCTGTTGAACGCCAGGCATCATTCAGTACAGTGTGGGTGGCACAGGGGTCAAGGCATTCAACAACTCCATTGGTGGTGATGCACTCTGTGCCAGAAGGACAACACTGACAGCTGGGACAAGGAGCTTCAAATAGAATATGTGGGACAAAACAGAAGATAAACATTATAAGTAAAGACACAAAATACCTTTGTTTTATTTCAACTTATTGCCAGATTTTGAGTTAATGAGGGAGAAGAGGTTTTCCTGCACCTTTAGTGAGAATATCATGCCTACAGTCAGAGGAAATCATAAAAAAAAATTAATCACCCCCTACGAGTTAAATAAACTTTAGCTTTAAGTCCTGGTTTTAGCATATTTTCAAAAAGGCATTAATCGCTTTTCATCAGTCAGACTACCTGTGCTAGCCTGACAGCTACATGCTGCTTTCCTATAGTCTCTACATGGACTAAATAGGTCTTTCTCAGGACAAAGAACAGAAAAATCTCACACTCCATTTGTGTTTGAAAATGTTGATTCTATTAGGAAATTTAATGACCACTAAACATGTTTTCTTACTTTGCTGTGCTTCAAATTAGACTTTTTAATTAGTTGCTACATAGAAGATTTCTGAGTCATTTCTTAAGGCTTTAACAGTCTTCAAAAAGAAAACAGGGTTATGAGAGAAGAGGAGGACATGCAGCAATGGTCAAGAAACCAGGTATAAGGATTTGGTTTTTCTGTGTGTTTATTTTAGGTTTCTATGTCTTTGAGTCTCCGTGTTGTCCTGTCTACCCCTTGATTGTTCCCAGCTTTGTCTCAATCCGATTACCCTCTGTGTACTTGATGTCACCTGTGTTTCTGTGTCTTTGTCGGGTCCTGGTGGTATTCTGTCTACCGTTTTGTCAGTCTGGCTGCCGAGTTGCTTTGTCCATTATTATTTTCCAGTTGCTACCACTTTGTAAGGTTTAACCTTCCACTCTTCTCTGTGCTGCCTGGATTTTGGACTCTGTATGTTTTTTGTCATCATTAAATCTACTGTTAATAAAATAAATGTATAATATGCCAGTTGTAAAATTTAACCATATGTTCAATATTAGACAACATTAATAGTGTTATATATTAGAAAATCCGCTCCACATTATATCCATGGTTCAATTAGCGTAATCTCTTATGTAGGATATTTCTATTGAAACATATTACACTAAGTTGAATTAAAATAACTTAGCTTGTAGTTCTCTATAATTTAAAACACAGCTAGTCTCTCTGTGGACTGAGCAGGCATTCACAGGGGTAGTGGCTCTGTGTGTGAGTTTAACCTTTTGACCACTTTGATAAGATTTAACAGTTGGTGTAAAACAATCTGGTCCTGCCAACAGAGTAGAGCTTCCTCTCGGGACAGGGCCATAAAAACATATGTCTCCATTCAAAAGAAAATAACACTTCTTTGGTCTTAAAAACTGGTTTTTACTGGAACCTAGTCAACTAGATTTAAATGAACTTAGCTAAGGACACTCCCCTAATTAGAATACAGCAGAGGAGGGAAACATGGCCTCCCTTTGAAAGCATAGGACCCAGAACCTTAACTTCTGATCGCTCCAGGTTACCCGTGATGCTGTCTCTGGGGAACGGTGCGTCGGTGAAATGGTTCCCCGTAAGTTTGTCTTGGTGTGTGGATGTCTGTGGTGTGAGGTAAATATTGAATTGGATGCTGGTCTGTGATTTTATTGAGTTTTGTCAGTTTCATTAGTTGTTTGTCTAATAAATGTTATGATTGGACTTGGGAAAACGTTTGTCTTTGTCTTTATGGTTCAACTGATACAATGACGACATCAAGGTATCCGGGCAAAAGAGTCAGAAGATTTTAATTTTTCTTCTTCTGATTAAAATGAACACTACCTTCATCATTTCAGCCTGGGTCATCAGTGTCTTCCTCACCACCTCATACCGCAATTCATGACACCAGGACTCAAATCTGTGACAGTCGTGTTGACGACTGAGACAATATACTAGTCCTGTGCTTGACCACTGTGCAGCTGAGTCTTTTACAGTTTTATAAAGCAGATGGTCTTGTTCAATGACCAACCAACAGATTGCAGACTAACAGAAGTTTTATTTTATTTTTTTAAGGTTTTATTGCCTCTAGTGACCTTTATTTGACAGTGAATTGACAGGAAAGTGGATAATGAGAGAAGGGGGAAGAGATACAGCAAAGGTCACCAGGCCGGGAATCGAACCTGTGACAGCCACGTTGAGGACTAAGAACTCCATATGTGGGTCGTGATTAACATTTAAAAAAAATGTTGGTGATAAAAAGGTCTTCCTTTCATAATGAAATGTAAAGTCTTACCAGTAGCTGCAGTAATGTTGATGCCACTGCTCCTGATGTTGTCAAGAACAGAGAAGAGAGTGAATGTGTAGTTTGTTGCAGGAGAGAGAGATGAGACTGTGTGGGTTACTGGTCCATCTGCAACTGGGGCACTGATGAAAGTCTCCACACCATTAAACAGGAGAACAAAGCTGGTGTTGATGTTGATCTTGTTCCACTGCAGAGTGATGCTGCTCTCATCCTGTGCTGAAGCTGTAAAACCTTCTGCATTTGGTGGGACTAAGATAAAAACAATACAATCAGTAACAGGAATATTAATAAGTGTCAAAAAGTATTTTAATGTTTGGGTTTTTTGTAATGTATTTTACTTGTTAAACAAAAGCAAAACTTTCATTAAAGTTTATTTGTTCTATTGCATAACATGAATCTTCCTCTTAAGATGAATGGCATCATTTTTCCTGATGTAAAATTAAGGATTATTTATGATCGCTTAAGCAGCAGAAATGAGATGCATTACTTGGTTTGTAGCAGACGAATGGCAAACTCAGGCTGCAGCTTTCATCCGACCATCTTCCAGAGTCATTAAATGATCCAGCAACACACTGATCACCAGAGGGATTATTGGGTTCGCCATCCGCCCAGTATCGAAACAGAGAGTCGCTGCTATCAGACCACAGCTTTTCCCGATACAGTCCAATCCAAACAGTGCTGGAACCTATTAGGGTTCTGATGATGTCATTTTCTGTCTGATTTCGTACACTGGGATGGAAAATAAAATAAAATTAAATTAAACACAGTGTGCAAAGATAATCAATGTGTATGGCTTTATTTGGCTTTTCCATTTCAAACAACTAAAAATGCTGTTGTTTTTATGTAACAACACCAGAAATAACAGAAGTCAGAAAAGAAGAAGACTGTATGGGAGATTATTACACTTTATAATCTTAAGTACTTTGTCGTAATCTTTAGACTATTTTGTTTACATGAGCTTTCAAATAAACAGTTCAACAGTGACCAAGGGGGACTGGAATCCCTCCCTTACCAACTCTAAACCTGCTCCCCACACAAGAAGCAACATTGATGGTTCATTCTCACCTTTCCTGTGCATTGTTGATCCAGACAGGATAAAGTCATTAAAAATGGCAGCACAAGGAGTTGGAGATCTTTTTACAGATTGTGTGTCTTATCCTATACTGTCACAACATGGTGATAGTTTGATCAAATATATATATATATATATATATATATATATAAAAACTGCACAAGTCTTGGAACTCCGCATGCGAATGAAAGGGGGAGGCGATGGGTGACAACAGACACAAGTAAGTCACGTCATTGCCTGGATTTTACAGCGTCACGTTAAGTCCCTGAACTTCACATTTTAACGAGAGAGTAAAAAGCACAATGCGACTTGGATGTAAAGTCTAACGTAACGATAGTACAGATACTTACTGTAAAATGTAGTGGAGTAAAAGTAGAAAGTACCCATTATTAAATCTACTTAAGTAAAGATACATGAAAATTGTACTTAAGTACAGTATCAAAGTACTTCTACTTTGTTACTTCCCACTACAGAGAAAAACACATCAACTTCTTAAAGTACAAAAAAAAAAAAGCCAAGAGGAAAATGACTGTAGAATTCATGAACCAGAGCTACAATACCTCTTTATAGAGATATTAATGCATTAATGCAGTATTTGCTGTAAGATACAGTCTTGTTATGTACCTGGCCAGGTCGACATAATTCTCACGGCAGAATTTCTGAGCTTCTGTCCAGGTTAATGAAATGCTACTCAAAACATAGGATGGTGATCCACCTACTGTACCTGTAAATATATAGATGAAATTTAGAATAAGAAAACTAAAAGAAAAATAATAATCTTAAAAAAAAAAAAATATATATATATATATATATATATATATATATATATATATATATATATATATATATATTATACTTACCATTATAGCACACAAATTCCATTGTCTCCATGCACCCAGCATCATCCCATTGACCCAGTGAGTTAACACTAGAGCCGGAAAACCTGACACAATGCTGTTGTCCATAATAATCGTCGGGTTGGCCATTATCCCAGTTCCTAAATGAATATTCTCCAGGACCATAGAAGCTGCTGTCATTTAGGGACCATGTCCAGCTGTTTAATGTGTCGTCGTAGAGACCGATCCATGCCTTGCCTAAATAATTAAAAAACATGTCTATAATATTAAAAAGCTTCAGTGAAGCATGTTTATAGTCACATAGGATAAAACTTTCACTAATAAAGAAAAATTTCAAGTTGAAAACTCACCTGTATAGTTTGAGCTGGTACTTAGAAAGTCATCAACATCAGCTGTGCTTTCAATGGTGGCCAGATCAGTGTAGTCCCGTCTGCAGACACTCTGAGCTTCTGTCCATGTAAGCAAAGCGTTCACAAAGTAGTACTGATGGCTTTGGGCGCTAGCAACACTGAGCAGGGCGCCTGAAATAAAACCAATTAAACTTTAACAGCATTGAATTACAGGCATTGCATTCATTTTCCTTATTTATTCCAAGTATTCTTTCTGTGGAAAATGTCAGCAAAAATAGTGATTAAGATTATTAGTAGTGTATCCAAGTGACAAGATGTGGAGAGTTGAGTTTTCTTCAGCAAGAGTCACTGTCAATTAACTTCAGGTCTACAAGTTGTTTGTCCTAAAACCTTTCTACAATTTGTTTTACTGCAATATCCATGATCTGTGTAGGGGTGGGGGACATACCGAGTATTCTCGATGTACCACGATAATTTCAATTTACGATAGTTAAAATGGCTATATCACAACCGAGTATAAATTGTTTTTCAAATAATAAACTTTCGCCGTCAAATTCACTATGAGTATGGTTTATCCGACACCCTATGAATGTGTCACTAAGCCCTCACCCCTCCCAACAGGCGCGGAGCTATAGGGCCCCGGGTCTGGAGGTGCCAGGGAGGAATGGTTTCAAGTCGCTTTAATGTTCGGGCTGACGTCCTCTGGGGAGACGCTGGGTCACTGGCTGTTGCACTGGGAAGAACTGCTGAGAGGTGGAGGATGGTGGCGGAATGGTTAGAGGCTGCAGTCTCTGGTGTTGACGGCGCTGGGGGCCATGTTGGTCCCCCCAGCGGCCAGAGGTGCGCGGGACAGTTGCGGCCCTATCAGGCGGAGGATGGACTCCAAAACCTCCTGGGTCTTCTTAGACTCCAATAGGAGAGACTGGAAATTGGCACCAAACTGCGCATCAGGGGTGATGGGGCCATCCAGCAGGTCCTTCTGGAGCTTCTTGGACATAGATGGCGAGAGGCAGAGCCAGGTGGTTCTCTGGATCAGAGTAGCCCAGGCAGCTGTCCATGAGGAACAAACGCTGAGGTGGCGCACAGATTGAGTATGCATCAGCCGCCTTGCAGAGAGAGCCCTTCAGCTCCACTGGTAAGGCAGCTTCCTCCACCCATTTGAGATGCCGCATGCCAACAAAGCGGCATTATTGGTGGCAGCCATTATCTGATAGTCACACTGGTGGGCGTGGTCAGAGAACCTGGTGATCAGCTTAGAAGGGGGCACAGGCCGCTGGGCTAATCCTAATGTCCTGGCCCCAAACACATCAGCGAGCCCCGGATCCAGAGTAGGAACAGAGGGAAAACTCTGCTCTGTAAACCCCTCCACCCTGGTGATAGGCACATAAGTGGAGACAGGCGCCCTCAGCTTCGCAGGCTCAGCCGCTGCCTCAGTTATGTAAACCATTACATGAGTGAGGCCAGATGGGGTCTGGACGGCGACTCGGGGCGGAGCCAAACTATCCCGCCAGATCATTCGAATGTGGCGGGCGAGGTTAGGGGATGGGAACCCCCTTAGTGTTAGCCACCTCCTTGATCAAGCTAGGTAGCTCAAGGAGGAGCGAGCCCACAACTAGGAGCGGGGTTGAGTCTGATATACGGAGCCTGGGGTTGACTGAGCATCCACTCTTTCCCACTGCAGTGCTTCCTAGCTGCTGCTCCTGCCGTCGTCCTCATCGTCATCCTCTCTGCCAGTGGAATCATCCAACTCACGCTCAGCATAGTTAGCATCCCGCTCAGCGTAGCTAGCATCTCCCCACAAGCAGTGACCGGACTCGGTGGGCCCGGCGTCCTGCCTAGCACCAGCCTTGAAAATGTCTAAACTCCACCTCCTCTCCTCCAGCAGGAGGAGAGCACAGGAGGTCAGGGCGAGGTTGGCGTGCTGGGAGCCCAGGCATCCCTCGCATATCCAGTGCTTGTCAAATGTACCCCATCTGACAAAACGGGCACAAACAGACATTTGCTCTAAAGATAGTGTTACCTTACGCAGAAGAAAAAGGTGGAGCCTTTTGTCCGGTCTGAACATTATTTATACAGACTAGGATGGGGGAAGACATGCGGCAAAGGTTGCCAGGTCAGGAATCGAAATTGCGACAGCCGTGTCGAGGAATAAGGCCTCCATATGTGGGTTGTGTTTAACTTCTGTGCCACCACAGCACACCCCACTAACAACATTTTGGTGTTAAAATGTCTCTCTTTCATAATGAAATGTAAAGTCTTACCAGTAGCTGCAGTAATGTTGATGCCACTGCTCCTGATGTTGTCAAGAACAGAGAAGAGAGTGAATGTGTAGTTTGTTGCAGGAGAGAGAGATGAGACTGTGTAGTTTACTGGTCCATCTGCAACTGGGGCACTGATGAATGTCTCCACACCATTAAACAGGAGAACAAAGCTGGTGCTGTTGTTGATCTTGTTCCACTGCAGAGTGATGCTGATGTCAGTTTGTCCCGACTTCATAAATCCTTCTGCATTTCGAGGAGCTGATTTTTTAGAAAAAGGAGATGTTTAGTTCAGACTTTTGCAGTTGGGTTTTCTTGTATATCTATGACTAGCCAGGATCTTAACTGTAGTTTACAAAAAACATGTCCAGGTCAGTTAAACAAACAAAGAGCAATGGGAATATATGATAGAGCTAACTGCTTTTGATGGAGAGAAGCTCTGGCTCTCCTGTCTCTGAAGGTGAGCTTAGTCACCCAAAGAGAAGAAAACCTGATTAATCTGTTTATACTGGGGTCTCAGTTTTGTAGTCAGAGTTCATATTTCACAAGGAATTGTTAAAGCATGGAAAGACTGAATATTTATGATAAACTCCTAAAGCAGCTGAACGCCTGCGTTCTGTTTCCTGTTGTATTTTCCGGGGGTTAGAGGGTTTTTAACTACTAATTGAAAACAAGAAGTGCTCTGATTGTTCAGGGTACTGATGAAAACAAAAGCATTTGCTCCTGAGTTTCTGTTAGAGCGGATGACTAACAAAGAAGTTGGTCATAGTTTGGAGTCTATAAGTTTTGTCTCAGTACCAAGTACATACACAAATAGTACTAAAAAGAGGAGAAATCAAACCATTTTTACATTCTGTAGGCTTTCAGGAATGATAAGCTGAATGTATTTTTCTTAAAATAAAACCAAAGGAAATGATGGTGTGATTAGTTATGTTGTGCAGTAAAATATCTTACCAGTTAGAGCTCCCAGTTGCTCTCCACCGTTTCTCACATTTTCAAACACAGTGAAGAGAGTGAATATATATCTGGTTCCAGCAGTGAGAGATGAGACTTTGTAGTTCACTGGTCCATCTCCATCTGGTGCAGTGATGTTTATCTCTGTGCCATTAAACTGCAGAATAAAGCTGGTGCTGCTGTTGTTGTTGATCTTGTTCCACTGCAGAGTGATGCTGCTCTCATCTTGTGTCGATACTCTGAAGGGTTGAGGTTCTAACACACACAGACACAATATATATTACAATATAAAGCCTTAGTTTTACCAAACATAAAACGTGTTTCACATTGGCTTTGGTTAAGGACATAACTACAATTTATAGAAATGAGTGAATAGCAGGTTATGTGTGTAAATACATATTGGAATTTTCTAGTTGTAAAAGGAAAACAGATAGTTCTGAATTGTTTGTAAATTATTACAATATTACCTGTACAATATGCCACCCAACATGCAGATGGCCTTTGAAGTTTGTAGACGTAGTATCCATAACAACGTTTGATCTGGATGGTGTGTGAGGGAAAAAGGCAGCAGGAATCCACCCAGGCGTTACACACAGTGCGAGTTGCGATTTCATTAAGCTGGACTGGATGAGGCTCAGTTATCCACATAGGACCATAGGCTCCACAGCTGTTTTCTGCTACACATTTCTCTGGAATCTGAGCGCTGGTCTGACCCAAATAAAAGCGATACCAACCACTCCAGTCAATGTAATAGTCACAGTGTAAGGCTGAATAGTCTGTATTCTCTGTTGAACGCCAGGCATCATTCAGTACAGTGTAGGTGGCACAGGGGTCAAGGCATTCAGCAACTCCATTGGTGGTGATGCACTCTGTGCCAGAAGGACAACACTGACACCTGGAACAAGGAGCTTCAAATAGAATATGTGGGACAAAACAGAAGATAAACATTATAAGTAAAGACACAAAATACTTTTGGTTTTATTTCGGCTTATTGTCAGATTTTGAGTTAAAGAGGGTGAAGAGGCTTGTGAGAATGTCACTAAAGGTGCAGTCAGAAGGAAATCAAAAAAATCACATCTCACTATGAGTTAAATAAAAAAAATAGCTTTAAGTCTTGGTTTTATTAGATTTTTAGTAGGCATGGTACAACAAATAAATGAAATAATATCTTAAATCCTTTTCATCAGTCAGATGACAGCCTGACAGCTACATGTCGCTTTCCATTTGCAGTTTGTCTCTACATGGCTTAAACAAATCCTGCTCTGGACAAAAAACAGAGCAATCTCACACTCCCTTTATATTTGAAAATGTTGACCCTATTAGAAAATATAATGATCACTAGACATGTTTCCTTACTTTGTTGACCTTCAACTGAGAATCTTTAGTTACTACACAGCAGATATTTGAGTAATTTCTTAAGGCTTTAACCGTCTTAGAACAGAAAAGTGGGTTATGAGAGGTGGAAGACGTGTGGCAATGGTCACCAGAACAGGCCATGAACCTGTAACGGTTGTGCTTTACCCCTGCGCTACCGAGTCTTTTAAATTTTTATATAGCAGATGGGTCTTGTTTGGTGACCAACCAATAGACTGCAGACTAACAGAATTTTTGTGTTAAAAGGTCTCCCTTTCTTAATAAAATGTAAAGTCTTACCAGTAGCTGCAGTAATGCTGATGCCACTGCTCCTGATGTTGTCAAGAACAGAGAAGAGAGTGAATGTGTAGTTTGTTGCAGGAGAGAGAGATGAGACTGTGTGGGTTACTGGTCCATCTGCAACTGGGGCACTGATGAATGTCTCCACACCATTAAACTGGAGAACAAAGCTGGTGCTGTTGTTGATCTTGTTCCACTGCAGAGTGATGCTGCTCTCATCCTGTGCTGAAGCTGTAAAACCTTCTGCATTTGGTGGAACTAAGATAAAAACAATACAAATTGTCACATAAAATTAAACAGGAATTAAGCATTTTGTTTCACAGCTTAATCAGGGGTTTTATATTTATTTATTAAACAAAATAAAAGCCTTCAAAAATGTTAATTGATTCCATGTTGCATAATGTAGTTTTTCCTCTTAAGAAGAAATAGATCATTTTTCCAGAGATATTTCTAAGAAATGCAAGAATTATCTCATTATAATGAACAACTCCTCACAAGCCAGCTGGTGAAAATGCATGTGATACAGTAGTTTGCTTAGAGACTGTAGTTGAGGGGCCTGCAGAAAATGACTACACCACAGTCATCTGTTGTGTAAAATTATGGAGCTTAAGCAGCAGAAATGAGATGCATTACTTGGTTTGTAGCAGACGAATGGCAAACTGAGGCTGCAACTTTCATCCGACCATCTTCCAGAGTCATTAAATGATCCAGCAACACACTGATCACCAGAGGGACCATTGGGTTCGCCATCCGCCCAGTATCGAAACAGAGAGTCGCTGCCATCAGACCACAGCTTTTCCCGATACAGTCCAATGAAAACAGTGCTGGCACCTACTAGGGTTCTGATGATTTCATTTTCTGTCTGATTTCGTACACTGGGATGGAAAAACAATGTTAATAAGCAATCACATTAAATACAGTACACAAGGAAAAATAATCTGTGTTGGGTTTCTTTTGATTTTTCAGTTTCAAAACAAAAAAAATAGCTGTTTTTTTTTTCATTTTTTTTATTTAGGTACTAAAAATAACTTAAAATTGAAAATTTTAAATCCACAGTGTTTGATTTTTGCTTCAGCTATTAAATCTGAACTAAAATATGCAGTTATTTATAAATATTGACATCAAATATAACCCTAAGAAAAGCAATATTATGATTGTTAGAAGTAGGGCAGATAAGCATCTGATAACCCCTGACTTCTCTTTATCTGATACTATTCTCAATGTGTGCAATGAAGTCATTACATTACATAAATGTAATGTCCTAAGTGATGGCATGAGGCTACTATGACCTGTCTGATGATCGTGACATCCATAGGCAGTATCGTATGATACACAAGCTAATATGCTGATCAGAAAGTTTGGAATGTGTGCATCCTCTGTGAAGGTGGCTCTTTTTAAAGCTTTTTGTACTTCACTATACACTGCCCATCTGTGGCGACGATACAAAAAAGTAGCCTGCAGAAACTTTATGTGGCATACAATGATGGCATGAGGCTACTACTCAAAGTGCCTAGATGGAGCAGTGCTAGTCATATGTTTGTACATAATGCTGTTCCCACATGTGCAGCTGTGCTCAGGAATCTTATGTATAAATGCATGTGTAGATTATATGTCATGCAATAATATAATTGTAATTTTAGTAAATCCTGCTTTTAGTACTAAGAGATTCTCTTCAAGATTATGGAATCAATGGCGTTATCACTTATTTGTGACTCAGAGAATAAGATGTCATGTTTATTTTTCCCTTATTTTGCTTGTTTTTACCTTTTTACTATAAACCTTTTTTGTGTCTGGAATAAAGATATGATTGATTGAAATATGTAAAATAGAAAATAACGAATGTCGACTAAGATGATGACTACACAAGAAATTATTACACTTTATAATATTAATTGCTTTCTTGGAATGTTTAAGTCAAATTTAATTATATTAGGATCATGAGCTCTCAAACAAATGCGTTGACTCTCTTTAAACAAACAGTTCAAAGGTCATGAAGGGAGACTGGAATCCACACTAAGCTCACACCCCAGACAAGAAGCAACATTTATTGTTAATTTCTTGCTCCGCTGTATCATCCTTCCTGCTGAAGGGCTTTCTCATGTTCACTTGGATTCTTTCTGGTAGAATTTCTTCCAGGCCAAATTAGCCAACAGAAGAAATTGTGAACGATGATGTTGATTTCTGCGCTGTTTTAAAATTGTAGTCTGCCTGTAGTTTTAGCAATGGCAGCGGAGGAAGTGAACGAAGCTGTTCAGTCCATGTTGATCACACTTCCTAATTAATATTAACAGCCACCTTGTTTTACTAGACCCTTGTCTCTTCACAATGTATGATGGCTGTTTACAACGGAGACAATTTCTGGTAAGCTTCATAGCATTGAACTGGCACACTACTGTACATATGTCACTTACAAAAATTAGCGATAGGGTAAAAGATAAACTTAAAAAAGATAAACTTAAAAAGAATTCAAGCCTCCGTGGAGATGAAAGTCATAGGCGGCAGGCAGGCAGAGTTAAAAGGACTAAACTGGTTGAAGGCATTAGCCCTCATTAAAACTGACCGGACAGTAAATGTGACAAGGTTGGAACACAAGAGTCAGAAATCGTGAGGTCAAGATTCAAATCCTTGGCAACTGCTTTAAGGAAATTAATACATATATGTATATGTATATGGGCAGCCCTTTTTCCAACCACACCATGCACTACCACATAGCCTACACTGAAATATATCAAAAACTTACAGGTAGTGAGGAATTCAACAGTGGTGAAAATGACATCAGGCATAAGAAAAGTGACCAGTTGGTTGTTTTCTATAGGAGGATGTGTTCATTAAATTAAAAAGAGGTCAGTTTAATAAACAGGCTACAGAAAAAACAGGTGGAAAATATAAGAATGACTGATGCATGAAAGGATGGAGCAAAGTATGACAACAGATGAGTTACCAACAACTCAGCAACAGAAAGAAAATGGAAAATAGCCGACAGAAAGAAACAGCGCATTGATCTTAGTGCCAAAATAAACCAGGACCAAGTGACTACAAAGAGAAAGAATAACCATACATTAACTTCTTAAAGTAGAAAACAAAAACCCAGAGGAAAACGTCTGGATTTATACACTACAATCCCTCTTTATATAGATTATTATGCATTAATGCAGAATTTGCTTTAATATACCTTCTTGTTATTTACCTGGCCAGATCAACATAATTCTCACGGCAGAATTTCTGAGCTTCTGTCCAGGTTAGTGAAATGCTACTCAAAACATAGGATGGTGATCCACCTACTGTACCTGTAAATATATAGATGAAATGTAGAATAAGAAAACTAAAAGAAAATAATAATGATCTTTCATATATACATATAAAACCCTCTTACCATTATAGCACAAAAATTGCATTGTCTCCATGCACCCAGCGTCATCCCACTGGCCCAGTGAGTTAACACTAGAACCATTAAACTGAACACAATGCTGTTGTCCATAATAATCGTCGGGTTGGCCAGGTTGCCAGTTCCTAAATGAATATTCTCCAGGACCATAGAAGCTGCTGTCATTTAGGGACCATTTCCAGCTGTTCATTGTGTCGTCGTAGAGACCGATCCATGCCTTGCCTAAATAAATAATAAAAAAAAGTTTATTACATTAAAATGCTGCAGTGAAGCATGTTTATAGTCACATATGATAAAACTTTCACTTATATAAGAAAATAAGATAAGGTAATTTTATTTATATAGCACATTTTCAGCAACAAGGCAATTCAAAGTGCTTGAAATGTGGGGTTTGTGATTATACTTGTGTTGTTCACCCATTTTCAAGTTAAAAACTCACCCGTATAACTGGAGGTGGTATTTAGAAAGTTATCAACATCAGCTGTGCTTTCAATGGTGGCCAGATCAGTGTAGTCCCGTCTGCAGACACTCTGAGCTTCTGTCCATGTAAGCAAAGTGTTCACAAAGTAGTACTGATGGCTTTGGGCGCTAGCAACACTCAGCAGGGCGCCTGAAATAAAACCAATTAAACTTTAACAGCATTGCATTACAGGCATTACATTCATCTTCCTTATTTATTCCAAGTGTTCTTTCTGTGGAAAATGTCAGCAAAAATAGTGATTAAAAGCATTTGATTATTATTAGTCTATCCAAGTGACAAGATGTGGAGAGTTGAGTTTTCTTCAGCGAGAGTCAATTAACTTCAGGTCTACAAGTTGTTTGTCCTAAAACCTTTCTACAATTTGTTTTACTGCAATATCCATAATTTGTGTAGATTAAAAGGGTTTATATTTATTGAACATGGTAAACAGGAACCACATAGTAACCTTCATAGCTGGTTTGCAGTGTTAAGGTAAGGTAATTTTATTTATATAGCACATTTTCAGCAACAAGGCAATACAAAGTGCTTTACAGGACTTAAAGGAAATGCAAACAAAATTACAAACCAAAGGAAAGAGCAAAAGAAGAAAAATAATCTAATGTTGATCTAAAGTATGTAAACTAGGAGCTTCTGTTCAGGGTTGCTAAGTATTTCCATTTCTGGGATGGAAGAACAGGAGTTTGAAAATTAGTCTAAATGTTGATCCAGAAGCTTCTACTGTTCTTCTGGTCTCTGCTTCTAAATAGTGAGTACTCTACTGTTTCTGATAAAATAAACTAAAGAGTGACTAATCTAATTCCTTTTATGGGTTAAAAATGAGTACTCCAGAGTTTCTAAATAATCATGATGTAGTATTGGTCTAGGTAGTGAATACTCCACAGTTTCTAAAAAGTAAGCTAAATTCTAAGTTTGTTCTAAACCCTTTTCTTTTTTTAAATCCCAGAATAATGAAAGAGAAATAGATTTTTGTAGTTGTCTTAAAGTTAACTAATGTTACTATAATGTTAAACTATTAGAGAAACCCCAGCCGAGGATTCTTTAACTTTTACGTTTATAAACTAATGTTACAGTTATATGAAGGTAAACCTGTGGATGTATTTTAAACACACTACTTACTTAAGTGACATCCTGGCAAAATGGAAACAAGTCGGTCAAAATCAGAGGAACAGAATAAACAAATCTGATTAATCTGGTAAAATTTCCAGATGCTTGAAAGTGCCGACTTCATCTTCAAATTAAACAAGTACATGCAAGTATCAGCATCATTTGAATAGTCAGCCCTCACAGGTTAGGAGGTAGAAGGGACTCCTAGAATCAAATATGATCTGCTACAAAATGTGGACATTAGCTTCAGAACAAAAGTTAAAGATCTTGTAAAGATGCTTAATAAAGCTGCTCTGGACTTTCCTAAGTGAAACAAGTACGTCGTCAATACTGAGGTGAAAGTGCTGATCACATATTCAGTTTATTCACTCAATTTAACAGACAAATCCCATAATCAACATACAAACACATCATCTTCTCACACTTAACCCAAATTATAAAGATAAAATTGAGTGAATCAGGTCTCCGAAGAAGCTATAAAAAGCTAATTTAGGGAACCACAGTGCACTTGCACATTTTTAACACTGAACTTGATTTGATTTGTCTTACTTTTCCTCTCTGCCTCAGTTTCCCACTGTGCAAAAATAAAAAAAAATAAAAACAAGATTATTAGAAGCCAGAATAAGATACCAACCTGTGAGCCCAAACAGGATCAGTCTGTAAGCCATCAGCGAAAGCTTCAGAAAAAATAAAGTATCCAGATAATATCTTCTAAATTCAAACACTAAGAATGTATTTCACAACTTATACAAGCTAATGACCTACAACAAAATCTTGAGATGTACAGCATGTTTATCGGTATTTGAGGTGGGTGTGGCAGTTACCAGCAGCTGACAATACAAGAATGAGGAAGAGCATAGTTCTAAGAAAACAACACCAGAGTTCATAGAAATTCACTTTGCAGTAAAAGGCTTTTTTTTTTTAATCAAAAGTCTATTTCCAATATTTTAATTTGTGAGATTAAAAAGTCATGCAAGCAGGTGGCAGCACAGGAATAGCACAGGAGATTGTACTCTGCTTGTTTTCATTCAATGTCAAACTTCTAGTAAAAGTCAGAGTCCTGTCATCTGTAGAAATATTCAGATTATTTTGTAGCTTTCTGGGCGTATCAGAGGTGAACAAGAAACTGTGCAAAATTGGCAAAATGCATAAATCCGTGGCGTGAGAACAATCTCTAAGAAAACAAAATGAATTGGGTCATTATAAATTGTAGAAAAGAGAAAAAAGGTCAAACACATTTTTATCATGGGAGAAATTATTTAACAAAATAATGTCTGGTGAAGTTGTTTCATTTGTTGCAGTGAAATAGTTGGGAGATCCAAACAGAAAGCTAAAGAAGATGGAAGGATAGAACGCATACTTTATTTAGAAGCTTAGAAAACCTGTAGAAGGTAGTTATTTTAAAATAACAGAGAAAAGTAATAACTGAACAATTAAGTCTAATGTAACCAGACAACCAACTTTGAACAGCAAATTTAATAATGATTTAAACATATAAAGAAACAGATGAGTATTGTCTTAACAATGAAGTATCTCTGAAAATCCAAATAAAGTATTGTTTTTCCTCAATATAGCTCTCTAAAATGTAAAAGAAAGAAGACTATAATGGAACAGAAAACAGACACATTAACAAAAAAGAACATTTTTAAATTAAGCTTTAAATCATCATTGGTTGAGTGAAAAAAGCAAGCTGACGACGTCAGAGTCAAATCTGTGCAGATTATCTCAGCATAAATCTGAGATTAGTTTAGCCAGAATTTCCTTGTTTTTCACATTTTGAACTTCCTGACAAACTACATTCTTCATCTAAACAAGCAAAACATTTTTCACTGACCGGAATACCAATCGCCCCTTTATATAAAGCATAAGCTTATTTTGTGAGGGTAAAATAAAAGTATTTCGCTTTCATGTGGTTTTCAAGCGTTCTACGTTTGCAAAACTTGTGAAAAAAATTCCCATAGAGGCACAGGCATAATCTAAGAGGCAGAAAATCAGTCAATAATTGATCATATTTATGTGTCAGTAGCAATAAAAAAATCTCTGGCAAAGACAGACATGGAGTGAGGCAGATCTTCACGACGAGCTCTGAATCTAAACCACATATTCCTCCAATCTTTGTCTATGACTAATTATTATTGCAACCGTTTTCATGTCATCCATTGCATAAAACATACAACTGAATCTCTTTTTTCAGGATAGTGTGTGCATTTTTATAGATGTACAGCGAACTGAAAAAGTTGAGAAGCCAAAAAGTCCAGCCTGGAATAAATTGCTAACAGAAGTAGTTTTATAGTAACGCCCTGACAAATTTGCAGGGGTTTTTTGGATTCCTTATTTTCATAAATCTAATAAATTTACAGAATAGGGGAGGAACTCTTCAACTTCAAACAGTTTGCATCAAATCTTTGTGTCAAAATATACTCGAAATATTTTTAATTACCTTGATTAACATTTCCATATTAGAGATGTTATCAACAAATGTTGGTTTTATTTCTGTTTTCACACTGAGCTTAGCTTTGGTTTGATCACTGAGTTTACTTTAGTGGTCCTTTTAATTATTTGCAATTAAATCATATTATAAAGCATAAAGTTAATAGTGTTTCAATTGTGTGCCATCTGTTCTTCAGAGTAATAGCAGAGCAGAAACTCAAAGATGAACACATTTTGCACATTGGGTTATGCTGTCTAGTAAATCTGTCATGAGTTCAGCTAAGCTTTCTGGGAAACTGTTTGTGACGCTAAGAACCAGAGATAACAATAGATGAGCTACAGGAAATACCCGTTTGAAAAGCGGTTTCTGAGTATAGCTTTGGCATGCATTTCAAATAGTTTTAAAGAACTCCCATTACCTCATATGACCTGGCTGTCGCATCACATTTTTGGTTGAACTCTGTGTCACTGAAATTTGTGGTAAATACCTACACCGCCACCTGGTGGTGGGAGATCAGAATTTCACATTCACGTAATGTCCAGGGGAGCAAAATGGAGTCACACTGATTTAAGTTTTGCTTCTTCTTACTTTTACTTTGTTCGTATCACCACATATCTAAGTTTTTTTTCTTTCAGGTTTTTTCAAGTTTCTGCACCTAGCTTCCAGTATTTCATCTAAGACCATTTTTCAATAAAAAGTAACCAATTCATTGATTCCTAAAACTGTATTTAGAGACAACACAATCATAGAAGAAATGTACATAAATGATTAATGAAAATAGAAGAAATTCTTAATTGAGTTCTTGGTGAACAAAAATAGATTACAATATCTCACAAAAGAAAATCAAATCTGTAAAATTACAACATTCCAGAATTTTTAAATTGGTACATAAAATAAACCTCATGTTATTTCAGGGAAAGGAAACAACGTTACAGATGAATTATCCAGAATTTGATTCCCCCGCTGATTTCAAGGTTTGGAAGAAACGATTTTCAGAATAATCTGTGGCGGCAGATTATATTTCCTGAGGAGCTGGATTGAAAAACACACATATGAGTCAAAGGTTAAAAAACCACAAATGGACATATAAAAAAAATCAAAATAGATATTAGCTCACCTCTATCAAAGCGTCTTCTAGCTCTGATTCTGTCATTGTGCTGGGAAGCTTCAACCTCAGATTCATTCCCAAAACATAATCTGTTAACAAAAATTAGACATTTATAATTCATTAGTGTAATAGAAATCTATTCAATTGCAGACTAATAAAAGCAATGCGATAATTGTTTTTGAATAAAATTCTAACTTCAATATTTTTACATAACAAAACATTTCCAAACAGGAAAAAATAAAGAAAAACAAAAAATTAAGATTATTTACTCACTTGGCCCTGTTTGTTGGTCGATGAAGTTTCAAGCAAGTTGGTTTTGTTGACATGAAAAGAAAACAGAAAAACATATTGGGGTGATTTAATATTCTTTATTTTTTGTAATTTCAAAACTTGTCCACAACACACCTAATATTGATCAGAAAGACAAAATAATTGCAGGTGTTTCAAAATAAGACTTTGGACAATCTTTTTTAAGTTCTGCAGTAAAATTAAAGTAATTAAATCCACATGCAAATTTCAATTTATGTGAAAAATAAGGGAAATCTGTTGGCTTTAACTTATTTGATCTTATCTATTTGATTAAGTATCTTACCAGTAGTTGCAAGTATGCCGACTCCACTGCTTCTGACATTTTCAAACACAGAGAACAGGGTGAATGTGTAGTTTGTACGAGCGGTCAGAGATGTGACTGTGTGTTTCACTGGTCCGTCTCCATCTGGTGCTCTGATGTTTGTCTCTGTGCCGTTAAACTGCAGAACAAAGCTGATGTTGATGCCGACTTTATTCCATCGCAGAGTGATGCTGGTCTCATCTTGTTCCGATGCTCTGAAGCCCTCTGGATTTTTAGGTGCTAAAACAAGTGAGGACAAATTTAAAAAATTTATTTAAAACCTTTGTCCTCTAAAAGTTTACATTTATGAACAATATTGTCATGATGATGAAAAAAGTCCCACAATCTTAAGACACAATAATTTTATTAGGAACATTTCCAAGTCAATTAATGTTATTTTATCAAATTCTAATATAAGAAATCAAATCTGGTAAAGTAAAACAAATGTTTATGTTCAAATGCTGAAGCATAAAATAAAGTTCAAGGATCAGTTTATTTTTGAGTTTTGCTGTTTGAATGAAGATAGTTTGATTGGTCCATTAAATGTGCAACAGATTTAAGTATATTTTGCTTTTTGCAAAATGATATAAATACATAATCATGTAATAAAGACGGACTAAAATGGCCAAATTATGTTTGCATATGAGACTCGTTAGTCTTTTCATATTTGAGTGATGATTGTCTCAAAAATGTGTTAATATGTTTATATTGAACACTGAGTTCCTTTACACTAAAGTTTAAAACACTTATTGTTCAAGTTTCTGCTTGATGTCTGTTTGCTCTCAGCATATGTTTCACATTTTAAAAATTTCAATTCTATTAATTTATTTTCTACCCATATACAATTTAGCCTTCTGGCTCATAGTGTTACTTCCTCATTGCACTAGACAATGTAGTCCCACAAAAAATAAGACGGCCCACTAGTGTTTTCATACCTTAGACATTGTGCCCATAAAAATAAGGCATTTATTCACAGCAGCTTGGTTCCATGATTTAATTCAAAGCTGCATATTTTAAAGCACATCTCTTGGAATTTGGAGAGAAAACGTAATTCTATGCATCTACAAATGTCCTACTTAATCTAAAAAAATAGAGTACTTTTGTTATTTCAACAATAAAGAACATCATACCTTTCATCATTAATGGAATACAATAAACATAGTCTGAGGTTTTGTTTCAGCACAGTTGTCAAACTTACACCGTTTATACTTTCAGTTAATACTGACTGGATAAATCTTGTAGCTATAGAAATAATCCAAAAATTTTATTTATGTCGGGGATCACCCTGAGATAAATAAAATTTAATTTGAGGTTTAGGTTTAGTTTTAAGTGTGATGTTTGCAGGTTTGGATCATTGATGGTTCAACCTGATTTTGAAGATTTTGGAGGAAAACTTGTTTGCCTTGGTTGTGAATAAATGAATGTACTTTATTTTCATACCAGTGACAACCTAAATATTAAAGACTAAAAATGGATGATTAATTTAATGACATTTATCTCCTTGATATGTGATGCAAGCTTTTTGTGATTTGAGGAACTTAGAAACGAATTTCTCAAACACTGAAAATGAAAAATGCTGTGATAATCACAAAAAATATAATTTACATTTGATCCTTGACTTATAATGATTAATAGAATCAGATCTGAACAAGAATCAGCCAAGAAGATATTTTGATACATCAATTCTTGCTTTGTATTTACTAAGTGATTTTTGCGATTTACCAAACTGCCTGCAACTCTTTAAATACGAGTTTATTAGTAGAGCTTGTTTTGTATCTCAACACAAGCAGGATTAATGTACAAGAGATGTTGCATGACTGTGTTTTTGTGTTTGTTATGATGTAAAGCACTTTGAAATGCCTTGCTGCTGAAATGTGCTGTACACATAAAATTTGATTTGACTTTGATTTGAAGAGATGAAAAGTTAACCATTTAGGTTTGACATATTAGAATTACAGTATCTTACCAGTGACCACCGCAATGCTGACTCCACTGCTTCTGACGTTTTCAAACACAGAGAAGAGAGTGAATGTGTATCTGGTTCCAGCAGTGAGAGAAGAGGCTGTGTGAGTCACTGGTCCATCTCCATCTGGTGCTCTGATGAATGTCTCAACGCCGTTAAACAGGAGAACAAAGCTGGTGCTGTTGTTGATCTTGTTCCACTGCAGAGTGACGCTGCTCTCATCTTGTTCTAACTTCATAAATCCTTCTGCATTTCGAGGAGCTGATTTTTTGAAAAAGAAGATGTTTAGTTCAGATTTTTGCAGTTGGGTTTTCTCCTAAATGTACGAGTACCCAGGATCTTAACTGTAACTTACAAAAAAAAAAAAAAAAACATCTCCAGGTCAATTAAACAAACAAAGAGCACTCTGCAGGTGTCCATTATGACACTTTTATGTGGCAGCATAGAGCCTCCCCTTTTGATTGACACCGCATGCGACCAATGTTATAAAATGGCTTCTTCCGACCCAACAATATCCAGGGATGGGCTTGAGCACGTTTTGACATGCCTGTATTCTTTCTGGAATATTTCTGACAGGTCAACTTGAAAACTAAATCTAAAGCCACCAATGTGTAGCCAACACACGTCCTCTCATAAGGATATAAGGTATTTTAGGATTTGTTTTAACATGAATCCACCAGCTACATGCATAACCATGCGCAATGTGTGCATCTGTGCTGTGTCAAAGTCAGACTCTGTGCGCCCTCATGCGTAACGCTGTCTACAGGACTTTTTATCACCAACAGGGAGCCGTGGAGAGACACGTTGTCAGAACGTGTCAAAACTGGATGTATTTCTTCAGCCAGGCCCGGCCGCATTGGCAGGCATTGGGGGACATTGCCCATCCACAGACTCAGCCGTGCCCCCTCTGGACTGGAAGCTGTTTGTTGTTTTTACCTTAGAATGGCCAACAGTCTGTTATTCCTATATCAATTTGATACAGTAGGGGCTTCCGCATGTCCCATATCTGTGTCCTCTGTCACCTTTTTCAGTCGTTGAAACTGTTTAATCCGTTGTTAACATGTGGTAACCTGTTTTTCCGAGCCACCTTCAAATGCAACATGAACGCTGAGACGCTAGCACTGGGTTTACACTTGTGTGGGAGTGAAGGAGACCTGCTGCTGCTGTGTGAAGCTACGCAGGTGTGTTAGAATCATGGCAGCAAACCAGCAAAACAGAAATAACTTTGCACAGTTTTTCCCCCAAACTAACCGACTGAGTTGAGTAAAGGTGTTGGATGCAGGTAATGTTAGTGAAAAGATGACTAGCTAATAATACAGCACCTTAAGCTTGTTAACAAGTAGCCTTTAGGCTACTGATGTTGTTGTCTATGTTCAGCTATGAAGATTCATTTCACCTCCCGCAAAATAAGTCGATGTTAAACTCGTCTGGAGCTGGGGCTGTATTCAGCAAAACTTCACAACTCACAGGAGTGGATGATTATGGCCGTAAGAGTGCTGACAAGTTTAGGATTTGAGAATACCAGACATTTTTAGTCGTTCACTATTACAATCAGAGCAAGGTTGGTGGAGTGTACCGAAGAGCGAGAATGGGGGGCCGAGGGAATGGTGGCATGGGAGGACCGAGGCGGTTTCAAAGAAGGAGGAGTGAATGTGGTGGGGGGGAAGCGTATCATTACACTGCAGGGGGGACTATGGACAGGGGGTTAGTGTACCATTAGGGGAGGGGGGGGTGAAGAAAGTGGGGGGCACGATGGGGAG